AGGTCTTACAAATGCGTGGAACACATTATTTTCAGCTGGTAGGAAATTTTGAATTTTGCCCGGGTGTCGGCAGATGCCTACTGCGATTTTGGACCACCAAGGGATCTTTAACGTGCGCAACTTGCACACAGGACCTCCTAGATTTTTCGGCCTTGTCCGAGAAGGCTAGGTGTAGATCTTTCCTACCATTAGATCGGCAGTGTGGCTGAAAGACAGCAGTAAGAAGGAACCAAGGAGTAGCAGTAGAAAGGCGGCAGAAAGAGTCGGGAGCCCAGAGGAGGGGACAAAGGAGGTGGGGGGGAGAAAGTGGAGACGAAAGCAGACGACAGAACAATTTTAGAGAGCAGGAAAGGATGTGAGGGGGGACCGTTTTAGAGAAGAATATTTTCCTTTGCTCTCAGGATTCGAACCCAGGACCTATTGAATGAGGAGGCGAACACCTTAACCCCTAGACCACAAGAGCGCTCGGTTTGAATGGGTCTTTAGTAAAATAAACAGTCGGTACACCCAAAGTGTTTACAGCTTTGCAGTGTGTCTGATATACCAGCATTTGATTTTGTTTTCAGTTTTACTTATTAATATAATACAAGGCCAGGTGGATCAAATAATATTTCATGGCCTTGTTTTGTAAAAGAAAATCCTGACTGAACGGGTGGTCCACCTGGACCGCAGGCTTACTCATGGCTGAAAAGATCAATGCAGGACAGGCAGGTCCGGCTGTAGATAAAGATTGTAATGTACGTAATATTATGTACATTATGGACCTCTGATACGATGTAGTATGATCCGGGTATGGTGCTGAGAATCTGGAAAAGACTATTTCCTGAGCCTTAACAAATAGTATGTGGCAGGGAAAGATCAAGGTGATAATTTAAATTATGAGCGAGTAACGTTTGTTGAGAGCATCCGAGGAAAGGAATGAATGGAGAACAATAATCACTGATGTTTGTACGTCGCAGATGATGATGCTATGGTTTTACGGTTTTTCTTCCTCTGCCTCTTGTTCTGTACTGTAAGCTGGCCCTATGAGAACCATCCTAGGAGGAGACAGCCTGGCAGGTAGCGGTTCACCACAAGGGTCAACCACTGGCAGTGGTCAATATGACCGACACAAAGAGACTTTTTCAGGGAGCCCTGGTACGTGTGGAGATCTCGTAAACCATAATTATAGTATTATATCTATTAAGCATAATAATAATATATATACATGTAATCTCCTTGAAGTTGAAATAGAGAGGTGCTCTTTTGTGTGTAACTTTCCACAAAAACTTACAATTCAACTAATTTTAATAGATTGTGCTAGTGTATTTTTATTTTATGAAATCGCTTTTGGTTTCTTTTTTAAAAAAAAGGTAATTTCTTTTATAATTTATAAAGGAAAAATACGTTGATCCAAAACAAAAACAACGAAAAGCAATTGTGAAAAAAATCCGAGACCCTATAGATTACAACATAAAATTAAAAGTAAAAGAATAACTTATATATGGATACACGATGCATTCTTTATTTATGACCCTTACATTGGAAGCTTTTGCTTTTAAACAATGACACGTTTTTGCATCTATCCCTCTTTAATTGTTTCTAACCAAAACTATGGTGGGAACTGGGAAACTAAATGTGGTGCTTGCACGACGAAACAGTCCTAACGGTCGAAAACGAATAGTATAGACATACCATTACCAGTATACTGTCTAGAAGAAAAATTAAATGAACGTACACACGTACATATTTCATTCCATGTCGTATTTGTTGACCTGTGACTGTGACATATTTTGACAAAAGTTTCTATTTTTGATAGACATGAACTGCTTTTAATTTTAAAGTTAAAGTTCCAGAAATGACCAGGCTTTGATTTGTTTTGCTGTTTCAAGCTCTTTGGTCTTCTTCAGTTTTGTTCAGATTGACTTACAACACTCGAGATCTTAATCAATATTATATGATAGTGATAGCCTACTCGGTTATACTTTTTCTCCTTTCAATTTATGCAATCAACAAATTATCACTATCCGTACGCTCTGGGGTCATTTTGTATCCCCGGGGTTGTATTCTTCACATTTAAAAATACTTCTAATGCGAAGATCTCTTTGAAACTTTCAGTATTTCTAACCCCCCCCCCCCCCCCCAAAAAAAAAAAAAACCCACCCCCCCCCCCCCCGATATTTTGACAGGCTGCTATGCAAAGCGTACGGATCGGATAAACGAGTAAATTTTCTTTTCTGAAAGTGGTGGCGTACAGAGTTCCCCACGTTGTATGGATACGATAGTAAAACACGACGTACGGATAGGGTTAAGTTAAATACATGTATAGTATTAATTTCAGACGTTACGTTTTCCTGAAGCACAACATGAGCTCTGATGGCCACTTAAAATCAAACGAAAAGTGAGCACGTGTGAAACTGGAGTTTCCTAAACACATTCTACAGTGTACATGTACCAAAGCCATACCAAGAGGCTTTATCATTCCCTCATAAAATGCCTCAGGCACGGGAATTCTTGGCATTCTATGGCAGGATGAAATACCAGACACATAGAAGCTCTCAAAAACGGCAAATGCCAAAATCTGATTTTTAAATTCCAAGCTCAAAACTGCCCCCGCCGTTTTATATTTTAAGCAAGGAAAATTCTGAAATTATGCAAACTGAACCCAAAAATATGAAATTATGCGATTCTGTTCATTTTAACAAAGAATGATAACGGAAAATAATAAGAAATTATGCAAAAAATGATCAAATTTTACTAAATTATGCGGGGTGCATAAAACCACGAGGACAGTCAAAAGGGCTCAACTTTCCTGGGTTGGCCATGTAGCTTAATTTCAATCTAAAAATGCCTCATTTTAAAATCCTATTCTGAACAGTAAAAAGTTGGCACACCAAAAAAAAGTGCTACAAGGACACTATGGAAATGTTTCTGAAGGACTTCGACATTATTTATAGGAGAGCCTGCTCCTGACAGACCCAGTTGGATAGCAGCAAGTCATACAGGTAGTATAAGATTGAGGTTCCACGAATATGGCTGAAACCAACAGAGAAGCCCGTAAGCTGCACACACCCACAAGTGGAAATGGTTTTATGGAGCTTTCGAATTCACAGAATGTGGCAAGCTTTTCTCTACCAGAATTGGCGTCATCGGCCATAGCAGTTGTCACAAGTCATATTTTAACATCTTGATTCTGCAAATTTTCTTCTATTTTGAGAAATGCTCTTCTGCGGATGCATTGGTCATCGGCAACCATTGACGGACGAACTATTGCTATCATTATCATTTCTATTACATGTACTATTACCACTCGTTACAGGTGTGCTTTTCAATACATACACCACTGAGTGGGAGACTGCCTGGCAAGTGTGTCGATACGCAAGCCAGAATTGGTAAGTTATGGAGTCTATAAAATCACATTTAATTTACACTGTACAATTCAATGAAATAGTTATTGTCAAATTATTTTGATGACCATAAATCCTGAATGTGTAGGCGATTTCAGGTGTTTTATACCCCCCCCCCCCCCCCCCCCACACACCCCCTCTCTCTCTCTCTCTCTCTCTCTCTCTCTCTCTCTCTCTCTCTCTCTCTCTCTCTCTCTCTCTCTCTCGCTCTCTCTCTCTCTCTCTCTCTCTCTTTCTCTCTCTTTCCTCCTTCATCTTTACGAAGTTGGCTCAAACATTTCCCTCGTCCATTTCAAGTTTAAACGAGATTTGGGGGCTCTCGTGGCCTCTCATTCAAAAGGTCCCGGGTTCGAATCCGGGTAGCGACTGAAAAATTTTCTTCTCTAAAATTGTCTCCTTTCACCTTCTTTCCTGCTCTCTAGCAGTGTTCTGCTGTCTGCTTTCATTTCCACTTTCTGCCCCCACCCCCTCACCTCCTTTGCCCCTTCCTCTGGGCTCCTGACTCTTTCTGCAGCCTTTCTACTGCTACTCCTTGGCTCCTCCTTACTGCTGTCTTTCTGCCACACCCCTGATCTTCTGGTAGGAAAGATCTACACCTAGCCTTCTCGGACAAGGGCGAAAAATCTCGGAGGACCCGTGTGCAAGTTGCGCACGTTAAAGATCCCTTGGTGGTCTAAAATCGGAAAGAGTAGGCTTCGGTCGCCAGCCGGGCAAAATTCAAAATTTCCTACCAACTGAAAATATTAGGTGTTTCCCGCGCGCTCATATGACCTTATGCTGTTGCGAGCGCCGTAAAACACTTTACCAAAAAAAAAAAAGAAGATTTCTTTATAGTTATAGCCCCTTGACCTGGCTCACACTTTGTCACGTCCGACCTCTGGTAACTAAATTATATTTAGGCGATCTTTGTTAGGTCCCTTTTCTTGGCTTGATATGCTCATAGCTGTCGTTAATTTTACTCACAGTTGCTCTTGAAGAGGCTTTCGGGGTGAAAAGTTGAGCCGTTTTGATAAACAGCAACAACAAAATTTGAATTTTTAAATTTAATTTTAATTTTGTGACTGAAAATTAATCAAGACGCCCACTGGCCCACTTTTTCAACAATGACTGACTCGGTGACCAAAGCTAATCTTTCTTTTTTGATCAACGTCATTTTTTTCTTCCTCCTCCAGTTTGAAGTGAATAATCAACCTGTCCTTGCATAATTGCGAAAGGTCTGGTACGCACATGTCATAGTCATAGGGCCCAGATATTATTTTTTTACGCAACGAAACGTGTTCGTTTGATTTGTTGCCATTCTAAAATTCCAAAAACCTGGTTCCAAGTTTTTGTTTTATGTTTTTGAAGTACCTGTCCAACTGTCCAATCAGCACTTCGATTCAGTGCTCATGAGAAATGGCGGCTGTTTAATTGTTTACAAAATACTGGAGGTGAGGGCGAGTAAAACTTCTGAATTTTGGAATTTTATTTCTTGATCTAGATCGAGATCTCTCTAGTCCCTGGTTGTCTCTTTCTTATGCACTCGTTGAAAGTAAGCTGTTCCGTTTCTATTAGATATTTGGGGTTCTACAGTTCCGCTCTTTTGCTCTGTTCTTCTAGATTCTAGTCTGACACCCCAAAGTCAAAGTGGCCAAAGTGTCTCTGTCACTGTTGTTATGAAGGCACCGCCTAGCTTCAACTTTTTACTGCACTACACATTACAGTTCTGGGTGTTATACTTTAGCTCGTTAAATTCTTCATTGATTTTTATCTAGATCTATCGTAGTTTAGTAGTTTAGAGAATGGAAGTGGCTATTCTCATCCGGGGTGAGAATAGAAAAACCATCTACCTCTCACCCCGGGTGAGACTTCAGCGTAAGCTATTCTCACCCGGTGCGAAACAAGACCTGCTTTTCCTCATTTTGGAATACTGTCTATCGGTGTGGATGATCAAATTGATAAAAGCCAAGAAAAAATTACGTTATGGCACACAAAAGTATGCTAATTTGATCGTCTTCAAAGATGCTATGGCTATTTCACTATTTCACTGGAAAGTGGCTATTCTCACCCGCCCGGAAGTTCTCGCAACATCTACTCCTCCCCTCTTCTCTCTCTCTCTGTCTCTTTCTGAATACTGTCTATCAGTGTGGACGATCAAATTGACCAAAACAAAGTTAAAAAATGATGTTAAACCACAAAAGTAAATTAATTTGGTTGTCTACAAAGATGCTACGGCTACGGCTATTTAACTTTTCGAATCAAGCCGAACTACGCGGGTCGCCATTTTGTTTTGTTCTCTCTCTTTCTCTCTCTCACTCTCTCTCTCCACTGCACACAGACAAAATTGTGCGCTTTCAGTAGGCTACAAGTACAGTAGTAATGGAACGTTTGTTCACGGCACAGAATTCTACAATTTTTCTCTTATCTCACAATCACAGTGTAAAATTCTGTGGTTTAGGGTGAATGCAAAATTTGTTGACACGCGCACCGGGTGAGAATAGCCAAAAGACTCGCCTGCACTATTCTCACCCCGGGTGAGAATAGAGGTGGCCATTTCACTGTTCGAATCGAGCCGAACTACGCGGGTCGCCATTTTTTTGTTTTGCCCGGAAGTTCTCGCAAGATCTACTCCTCCCCTCTCTCTCTCTCTCTCTCTTCTCTCTCTCTCTCTGTCTCTTTCTGAATACTGTCTATCGGTGTGGACGACCAAATTGACCAAACAAAGTTAAAAAACGAAGTGGCTAGCCGTACTTTAAGTACGGCTAGAAGATCTAGGTTTGGCCCTATCGACTCAAGCCTGTTAAGTGCACAGGTCTCATTAGATCTAGATCTAGGTCAAGTAATTATTCAGGTTCAAATACATGCCATGCAAGTCAGTAAGGCACCTTTTGGTTTTGTCTGAAATACAAATACTTCAGGCATTGCAAACTACTAAAAATTTCATTTACAATTCAGCCATCAATATTAAGTACGGCTAGCCTGGCTGTCTACCCAGCCCCCGTACTAAAGTACGGCTAGACTGCCAGTCTAGCCGTACTTATCTTAGCCTGTCTTAGGCCCTATTAACATTTAGAAAACAGGAGGTTTAAAATACATGCACTGTCATTAAATAAGGCACCTGGTTTCGTCTCAAATACAAAAATACTTTAGGCTTAGGTACTGCACACTAAAAATGTATATATATTTACAATTCAGTAGGCCTATTTTTGGTAAATGGTCAGTCTAGCCATCATATAGAGAATAAGTACGGCTAGACTGCGAGTCTAGCCGTACTTAAGTACGGCTAGACTGCCAGTCTAGCCGTCATTAAGTACGGCTAGCCTCTTCCGTTAAAAAATGATGTTAAAACACAAAAGTAAACGTTAATTTGGTTGTCTACAAAGATGCTACGGCTATTTAACTTTTCGAATCGAGCCGAACTACGCGGGTCGCCATTTTGTTTTGACCGGAAGTTCTCGCGCTACTCCTCTCTCTCTCTCCACTGCCCACAAACAAAATTGTACGCTTTTAGTAGGCTACAGTTGTAATGGAACGTTTGTTCACGGCACAGAATTCTGCAATTTTTCTGTTAAGTGTAGAATTCTGTGGTTTAGGGTGAAAGCAAAATTTGTTGGCCTAGATCTAGGCTTATTATATAACGGTGAACGCGCACCGGGTGAGAATAGTCAAAAGACTCGCCTGCACTATTCTCACCCAGGGTTATATCTCTAGATTCTAGAGATCTATCTCTGTCTATCTAGAGATCTAGATCTCTAGATTAGATCTAGACTAGATCTCTATCTATAGATCCCGCCACACACACACACACACACACACGCATGGGCGTCTAGTCTATAGCCTACGACAGTGGAACTCGTATTCTCAATGAGCTCGGATTCATCGAGAACTCAGATTCAACGAGGTGAGATAGAATAGATTCCCCGTTTTATTTCTTCTTGATTATCTCAATAAAAATAGGCCGCCTCTTTTCTCACCCCGGGTGAGAATCGCGCTGACGAGTCTTTTGGCTATTGTCACCCAGTGTGCGTTCACCATTATAGCCTAGGCCAACCAGTGTAGCGTTCACCCTGAACCACAGAATTCTACACTGTGATTTTATAACAGAATTGTGTGCTGTGAACAAACGTTCCATTACTATTGTTAGCCTGAAAGCGTGCAATTTTGTCTGAGGGCAGTGGAGAGAGAGAGAAAAAGAGAGAGAGGTGTAGCGCGAGAACTTCCGAGCAAAACAGAATGGCGACCCGTGTAGTTCGGCTCAATTCGAAAAGTTAAATATAACCGTAGCATCTTTGTAGACGACCAAATTAATTTACTTTTGTGTTTTAACATCATTTTAAAACTTTGTTTTGGTCAATTTGATCGTCCACACCGATAGACAGTTACAGTATTCAGTATTTCAGAAAGAGAGAGAGAGGGGAGGAGTAGATCTTGCGAGAACTTCCGGGCAAAACAAAATGGCGACCCGCGTAGTTCGGCTCGATTCGAAAATTGAAATAGCCATAGAGCCTCTTTGTAGACGATCAAATTAGCTTACTTTTACTCTTTTCTTGGCTTTTATTTCAATTTGATCGTCCACACGATAGACAGTATCCGAAATGAGGAGAAACTGGTCTTGTTTCACACCGGGTGAGAATAGCCAACGCTGGCAAGTCTCACCCGGGGTGAGAGCAGGGTTGGTGATTTTTAGAATTTAAATTGGATGTTAAAAATTTTTTTGATTTAATTTTAAAAAATGTCGACACAGTTTGGGATTTTTGGTGGCTAAATGTATTCTTTTAGTGCAAAATGCATTGTCTTTATTTTAAGTACTGATTATTTTAAGCAACTGCAAAAGAAAGCCTTAATCAGCTTTATCAGTGAATTATGGCTTACAGACAAAAAATGAAGAAAATGTCATTCTAAAAGGAACAGAGGGGGGGGGGGAGGTGGTGGGGCGGGGGTAATAGAAAAACTTGCATTATACTACAGTGTGTGTGTGTGTGCACGTGCGCTTGTGTTTGTCTAGAAAGAAAAAGATTATGCTTTTAAAAATTTAATACTGTATTATTTTACAGTGACAGAGGGGGAAAGCAGATTTTTAATTTTTTAAAGCATGATATAAATATGAAAATGTTAGTCTACTAAACCTTGTTTTATAAAACCAATGAAAGGAATTCTGAATGTAAAGATGTAAAAACAGAATACATAAAAAAAAAAGTGATTTAAATCACTGAGTTTTATTTTTAAAATCAAGTGAAAGTTGATTTAAATTTTTAAAAATCAACTTATTTAAATCGACCTGATTTAAATCAACCCAACCCTGATTTCAATTATGAAAAAAAAGTAAATTGAACACTCTGTATTATTTTACAGTGAAAGGGGGGGAAAGCAGACTTTTAAGCATGAATTATATATTAGATCTAGTCTACTAAACCTTATATCTGTTTTATGAAACCAAGGAAAGGAATTCTGAATTTTGAAATATGTTAAAATCTGAATAAAAATATATTTTTTTAAAAGTGATTTAAATTCACTTGTTTTTATTTATAGAATCAAGTTGATTTAAGTTTTTAAAAAATCAACTGATTTAAATCGACCTGATTTAAATCAACCCAACCCTGGGTGAGAGGTAGTTCATATTTTTATTCTCACCCCGGGTGAGGATAGCCACTTCCTAAAAATAACCCAGATTTAACGAGCACTTAAATCAGAGAGCTCGGATTCAACAAGGTCGCTTCCAGGATGAACAGCCCCCCGCTGACGTGGGTTTGCTCATTTTTCTCCCAGAACAAATTTATCTATTCCCGAAAACCATCCATTGCACATGCATCGTGAACCATTATTCACCCAGCCGATTGCATGCGAACAATCAGTGGCCTTTTTTCATACCAACACATGCGTTGTTGGCACGCGCACATGTCTACTCTGGCGTGTATTGGGGTTGGATAGGCGGCCTGCACACGTGTGACTGTGTGTGTATGTCGGGGAGGCACTAGCGGTCCGGACGTTGAACGTCGCAGGTAGATACAAATGCGTCAGTCTTTTTTCCCCCTCAGCATCTGATCATCATTACAATGATAAGCTAATCTTGATGTAGATCTACGTAATGAATTGTGCGCTGGTCTATGGAATCAAAAGTTGCTGTATGTTAAGCTGTAGTAAAGCAACACAACTTTTTGGTGTAAACAATTGAGATGACACAGGCGTGTGCATTTGAACGAATCATGTTTTTTTTTACACAGCTCATAATATGCAGGCATTGCAGGCACTACTTGTGACTTCTCTTTATACATTACTTGCTCAGTGCCTGTAATTATCTACCCAAAACCTAGTGTTTGCTATAACGAACACTCGGATTCAACGAGATTTTAGCTCAGAGGCCCGGCGACCTCATTGAATCCGAGTTCCACTGTAGCAATGGCCCGATGATAGCTTAGATAAAATCAATTGAAGAATTTGACATGCTGAAGTATAAGATCACCCAGTTCTGTACTAGACTAGTCTAGATCTAGATCTAGCATGCGACTAAACGCATGGCGTAAACCGGGCTACAATTGGCTGAACCTGTGACCCATGAATACATTAGTAGGCCTATGGTAGGCTACTCTTGGCACTCTCGACGACACGACACCATCCGTCACTCTCACCACTCACCCCCCTCTCTCTCTCTCCCTCTTTCCCCCAAGGTAGGGTAACAAATGAAGTCCCCAATTTGTAACATGTTTTACTGCTAGATTCTTCTTCTTCTTATTTGTTCTCATCTCCTTCTTGTTCGTTCTCCTCCTCTTAATTCCTTCTGCTCCTCCTCCTCGCCCCCCTACTTCTTCTTCTCCTCCCTCCTCCTTCTCCTCCTCTTTCTTCTTTTCCTCCTTCATCTCCTCCTCCTCCTCCTCCACCTCCTCCTCCTCCTCCTCCTCATTCTTCTTTTTTCTTCTTCTTCATGAATTTCTTCTCCTCCACCTACACCTCGGATCCTCCTCCTTCTCTTCCTCTTCCTCTTCCTCTTCCTCTTCTTCTTCTTCTTCTTCTTCTTCTTCTTCTTCTTCTTCTTCTTCTTCTTCTTCTTCTTCTTCTTCTTCTTCTTCTTCTTCTTCTTCTTCTTCTTCTTCTTCTTCTTCTTCTTCTTCTGAACTCCTCCTCCTCCTCTTCTTCTTCTTCTTCTTCTTCTTTCATGAGCACTCACCCGCTGTGAGAAGACGGTCAAAGGCGCGAGACCAAAACCTTGAATTCCCAGAGTACCCACAGGTTCAGCCAATCGTAGCCCGGTTTGTAGAGACGCCCTGCGTGTAGTCGCATGTCTAGATCTAGATCTAGATCTACATGACACAGTGCGTTGAGTGAGAGACAGTCGAACCTGTTACCTGTGTAAGATGACCACCCATTGTGCGGGAGAAAAGTGACCATATAATAACTCTAAGAGAGTCTAGATCTAGAGCTTGACTCGGAAGGAGCTCCAGTTCCGCAGAGGGCCGGCTGACCAACAACACAATAAGATAGTAAAGAGGGGATATTTTGGTCCCATATTTTGAGCGGGTATAATACAAGAAATGTAAAAACAATCGAAATTCATCAAAATTGACTACTTGATGAAAATTCCATTTTTGACCTGGTTTCCCACCCTCATATTCTCCCTTAATGACGACAAAATGATGATGATAGAATTTTTTTATTGTGTACATGATGTACAGCTAAACCTGTCCAAAACGGAATTGTACGGAATTGTACGGCAGTGGTCAAATTAATTTCACACCTCTGGCTACACAGGAAAGTTTCCCTGCTGGATTGCCACTCAAGCACTTTCTCTTGACAAGCAATGTTGAGATTTCACACCTACTGCACCACCCTGACCAACTGCATTGCTTAGACCTCATATGGATTGGGCAACAGCTACTCCCTAAACTGCACTTAACTTGTCTGGCAGCATGGCGTAAAGGTTAAAGCTGAAAGAACTAAACTTGGAAGTTTTGTTTCAAACCATAGCTGAACAGGCGAAGCATTTATTTTCTGTAGACTTCGACAGGTCAAAACTCTCAAAAGGGAAGGAAATTTACTTTTCCTTTTTTAGTTGAACAGGATCTATTATATGGAGGAATTTATCGGGTTGGGGGCTGGAAATCCATTATTAAAAAGTTTTGTCTTGGACAGGTTTCATCATAAGGTAGGTTTGATAGTGCTTGTACTCTTGTTTTCAAATGGGATTTTTTAAAAATTACTTGTGTTCTTCCCGCAGCTGCATCAAATTCCCAGTAATGGCGGGAGAAAGACGGACTCGGAGAGGGCCAGTCAAAGGAATAAAACGTATTTCTATGGATCGTTCTGATGATGATCTTTTTCATCATGCAGATAATAGTTATCAGTCTTCGCAGTGTTCTCACAATGAAAAGAAAAAAAGTGACCAGGCTCAGAAGGGGTGTACGAGAAACTTAAGGTAATCTTCTTGTCAAGTGTCTTGTGTGGTGTATGTGTGTATAGAATCTGCCTGCCGGTCTTTCTCTTTCTGTTCATGATGTCCATCCATCCATCTATGTACTCTGATTCTTTCAGGACCCAATTTTTTTTCTATAAGTTTTAATATATTGTATAATATTATCATATATCATATTTTTTCATACACTAAGATAATTATAATACTCTACTGTCCCTATAGGAAATTCTCTGTGGCTTTACAGGAATGGTAAAAACATTTTGAATATACACGCTGGGTTGGTAGGGCTTCAAGGCTGCATCAGATGGGATCAATTGGGATCACATTGGACTGTGAATAGTCAGGGCTTTTATTTCCCTTACCATCGCACTGGTCTGTCATCTCTACCCTTGAATTTGCAAGACTGACTGAATTTTAATAGGTGTGGTCACAACATAGTGGTGCCTTACTGCAGAGGCCGGTGGACTCGTTGAGATGGAAAGCTAAATTAATTTTGGACAGATGAATGGGAGGGGTAATGGGATCGATGCAGATCTTGAAACTCAAGTTTGAATATTTATAAGTGAATCTGCTGTGTCATGCTATTGTGAGGTCAGTAATGTTAACCATTCTTTGCTTTCCATTAGTCATAAACCCACCCAGGGGTCATGTTATTGTTAGTACTTTTCAAAGTTAGGGGAGATCATTTTACAGACTGTTGGCCTGACCATGATTCACAGAGCCAAATAGGAAATATGAATGTAAAGTGCCTTTCGAAGGACACTGTGTCGGACATCTGAGGCTCTAAACCCCTATCAACCGATCTCACAATTAAGAGTGGGCTACCGACGCCACTGCCTTGAAGTTAATTGAGTTGAGTAAATGTGTATTGCTGGTCAATTATCTGTTGTTTGTTTCATGTCTGATTTTTTTTCTTTTGATTTTGATATCGTGATTAAAAAGTATTTTATTTTTGCAGAAATCGTTCAGAGATTGAGAAGAAACAAGATAAGACATCAGAGCAGATTTCCCTCTCCTTCTCACCTGGTAATTTATTCGAGTCTGAGCCAGAAAAAAGCAACAGACTATCGGTATGTTCATTGTCATTGATATTTTTGCTGAAAGTGTATAGCACAGCATTTCATTTCACAAAACTTATATAATTCATTTTTAAAATTTATTTGTCCAATGTGGCAGTGTTATAAATCCAATGATTTAAACTGGCAAGATTTTAGCTTGTTTGCAATCAATACCAGTTATTATTTTTTGTATCAGTTTGTCTTGAGTTTGTCACTGGGCCTCCAGAAATTTTGATGGATATTGAGAAATTTCAGCACTCAAGGATAAAATTTCATGCTTTAGTTTGTGCCACTCTTACATAACACAATGGCAAAGGAAAAGCTGTATTCTTGTATGAGATTTAAACCTGTTTTTTTTCTTCTAATTCTATGAAATTTAGTTATCTTGAATCTTGTTGTCAGAAGGCTCTTGAGATATTTAGAGAACAAATGGGATGAGATTCACCATCCATTGTACTTAGCTTTTTTAATCATGTATGACAAGGAACCACCTATGTTCTTAAGTATTTAAGATGTAAAAAAAAAAAGTCATGTTTACAAAAAAATTTAAAGAGAGACAACTTTGTAAAAATTGCATAGATTTAGTTTTCTTATATTGTTTTGGGGTTGGGTTGATTAAAAAAAAATTTTTTTTTTTTTTTTTTGGGGGGGGGGGTGTATTTAATTTAGAAATATGGTTTTAAAATTTCAACTATTTTTTTCCCCCCTCTTATCCTGCATGCTTCAATGGAAAAGAAGTCCTCGGAAGCTTTAAAAGACAATAATGACAAGGATAAAAAGAAAAAGACCAAGGTTCGTCAGCCAGCCAAGAAGAATGGCAAGAAGAAGACTGCAAATAGAAAAAATGGAAACTTACAAAAGGAGGAAAAAGAGAACCTACCAGATTTTTCGTCGTTTGAAAATCATGAATTGTGCATTGAATATGACTCAGCTGTAAATACAAATGATTGCAATACCAAATGCAGTACCCCTATGCTAACTGAGAATACATGTAGCGAGGTGTGTAGTGGTTCTTGTATAGAAGAAGAACTTAATGTCTCCAACATAAGTGTGGACCAAGATGCTTTCTTTGATCGTGTTGAGATCGACTGTTCCACACCATTGAATGAGAGTGTTACGGTTAGGAGGAGGAAAGATAGAACAAAAGTACAAAAAAGAAAAGGACTAGTGGAGGCAAGAGAGAGTTTTGAAGTGCATTGTGACTTTACCTCAAAAATTAGCCAGAGTGTCTGTCAAACTGAATTTTTCAGGGATACTGATGATGATTGTTCGTTGAAAGACTCTAAGTCAGTCCTCGAGGATGATTCTGCCGTTTATTCATATGGTGTCATCACTAGAGGTCAAATTGCTAAAAGTATGAAAGACAGGTCTGCCTTGGGAAGTTTCAATAGTTCAAACAGCCTTTTCGAGACTTCGTCCCCCTCCCGTTATTTTTCGCTTGAAGGTTATGCCGACAGAGAGCCTGAATTTCATAGTTCTAAAATTGAAAGGTCAAGCAATTTTCACCTGGATGTAATAGATGAAGACTCTGAGAGGGATGAGAATGATGATCAAAGTTCTGATGTCAGTGCCGAAGACATAGAAGAAGCTGTTGAGGATGAAAGTGAAAAGGATGAACATGATCATGATAGGGAAATCAATGAATGTGTTAAACTGTCAGAAGGACGGAATGTTGATGAAACAGATAGTCCTCTGAGTCAAATGCCAGAACTTTTTACGAAGTTGTGTATTCATGGAAAGGATGAAAGGATGGACGTTAGACAAAGCCCCATAAAAAATTCTTCTGGATCACCATCATTCTTTGTAAGTAAATGCCTGTATTTTTTAATTGCATTTTTTTTCCTTTGTTTTTGTATCTGTTAGAAAAAGTTGTTTTGTTGTTTTTTATTGTTTCAGAACATGCGTTCTATTTCAATTTCACTGTATTGGAAGAATGCATTTAATTATAAAATTAAATTTTCAGTGTGATTTATTTGTGTACTTTATGTGAAAAGTTTTGTTTCACAAAAGCACTATTGACAGTTTAGGTCTTTGTATTTAATTTTCTGTTAGATGGGTAACACCTATTAAATGTCCCTTTTTATTGCTGTTTCTAAAATTGAGAGGGAAATTCAAAGAATATATTTTGTGTGTGTGTGTTTAACTCTCAAGGTATTTTCAGTCAGTTGTTTGTTTCTCTAAGATATTTTTGTAAGGGAAGAAAAGACGCATGTCTTGTCATGCTCGTTTATATTAAATTATATTAAATTCCTCCTGTTTTAGATGCCTATCAAACAATATTAATTTTTCTTTCTTGAGCTAGCTGTGTTGTGTTTTCTTTTCTCTGTGAATACCTGTTAATGTACTCCTCTATTGTGAGTGATTGTTTAGTCTCCTTGTATTTATTGTATCTCAAACAAGTGGGTGGTTGGCGGGTGCTCTAGTGTGGTTTGCTCCTTCTTTCCTTTCAAACATCTTTCGTCCTTATCTCCCCTTCTTCTTTTTTGTGTTTGTTACTGTCAAGGAACACCTCTAATCTTCGGCACTTATATGACCTAATTGTGTTGCAAGTGCCGTAAAACTCTTACTAAAATTAACTCTATCTCAAACAAGTGGTTCATCGGTGCTCTGTGATCTGCTTGTGCATCTTTTCTTTGGTTTTATTATCATTATCTTCTGCTCCGAATAAGTCCGTTGCTGTGGCCCATTTTGCTTCTTGTTCTAAACTCCATCTCATCTCCTCTTGCTATGTTTTAAAAGGGGGTGGGGGAGGGGGGGGGGAGGTGATGCGTCTCTTGGTCGTAGTCTTAGTTTTAAAAGTTTCAGTGTCCTGTAATAATGAGATGGTATCTTGTGCTCACCATTTCATTAGGAAAAGTTGTCCAATTCCTCCATATGTGAAGAAGAGACTGCAACAGCTGAGGAAAAAGTCCTTAGACTCTGTCTCCAGGAAAAGCCGGAAGATTTTTCCTATTGCATTCCACCCAAGTAAGTTAAAACTTTTCAATTATTATGGCGCCATTTATAAGGAAACCATTCACAGTGGTAAACGTTTGTTTAATGTCTTAAACTTTCTGTACAAGTAAACATTTTCTGAGCAATTTGTCTTATTTCCTTTTTACGCTCTTTGTGATGCAGGGTCAGTTTGTGCTTTACTATGCAGTTTTGGATTCACAGGGACAAAACAAAGTCCTGGATTTAGCTTTCGGATGCCTTTTACAACTTGATCCAGTTTGTAAAAATACTAAGAACTCTTGTCTAAATGGAAAAGATTTCTTTGTATGGAAAAAATATTGCTAAGTTTGAATCTGCAATTACTTTTATGAAATGTATCTAACCAACAGTTTGCCAAATGCAAAATATGATGAACATCGCTCCTCATCATTGTCATCATGCTTCGTAAGTAAGGCAATGCGAGCGCCGTTCATCACAGCAGCATCTTGCCTAATTTGTCTCTCAAGAAAAAATGATGAAAAGTACTTGTCATTTAGGTCACGAAGGCGAAGGGATTGAAAGTAAATACAATATGGTCGAACCTGTGTATGACGGAATTGCAAGGGAGTCATGGAAAAAAGATCTGTTTTAGTCATTTTTCATCTTAGACGGAAATTTAGGGCGAGATGAAGGGAGGTTTCAGAGGCCGAGCCGGTGAGATCAAGGGTCTTTTGACTGGTCAGCAAGCAGTGATCAAAATTTCACACCTCTTAAGTGCTACCCTCTCTGATAATGGCCTGCGTCAGTCCTACTTTTATCCGTTGCCACCAGTGCTTGCATTTTATAGGACTTGTTTGTTTTACATATTAAAAACAGAAATGATTGAACATCTCCTTTGCTTCCTCCCTTCGGTGTAATAAGCACAGTCAATCAATGCCATCCCTCATGTACATATATAACAATGGTTCGAGGAACTTTTTTCGCAGATGGCATTGGTCAAACTAATTTCACACCTCCAGCCTCTGGCTATCCATGAAAGTTTCCGTGCTGTAGTGTCACTCGAGCACTTTCACAAGCAATGATAATATTTCACACCTACACCACCTTGATCATCTACACCGCTCAGGGCTCACTTTAGTCACACAGATGGGGTAAGATCTACTCATTAAGTTGCACCCTACTGCCGTTCCTTGCATGGCAGCATGGCATAAAGGCTAGAGCCGATGGAACCAAACTTGATTATAATTTTGTTTCACTTCAGGGCTGAGTAGGCAAAGGATTTCCTATCTTAGACATGTAAAAACCCAGATGAATGGAGACGTGTCCGTTTTATAGAGGTAATTATAGAGGATTTTATCTAGGGGGGAGCATGGAGATCCCGTTTTAAATGTTTCCGTTAAGGGAAGTTCGACTGTGAACCTAAAATGTTGTTAGTTTTGATTCAAGACAGTGAAGAGTTATCTATTCCATTTTTTCAATTAAATATTCCTATTAGAACCATAGAATGTTACCTGTTAGATATTTGTTCATGTGAAATTAAGTGTGATGCCTCTGGGGAACTTTTTCATGATGTTCTTTGATTGATCACCGTAACTTGTTAATGTGTATGCGCATGTTATAATTTTTCCCCTTGTTTTTGCTGTGCTGTGGTTTTTGTTGATACCTCAAAAAGTCTTTAAGTGACTTGCAACCAATTTTCTTGCACTCCCCCACACTGCTTGCGCATATGTATGATTTTTAAAAAAAGTTCTGAACACAATTGCATCAATATGAACACAAGTGTGTTTGTATATATACATTCATTATATTGAGAAACAGTACTTTCAATTATTGTTTTTTTGTATGTCTTTTTTACATGCTTCTTTTATCCTTTCCTGTGTATTATAATTATTGCTGTTGTTGCTATAATTACTATTTGAGGATTTATTTTTTTACCATTTTAGTTTATGTGGCTCTTGGTATGTTTTTTTGGCTATCTGGTGCTGACGGAAGTGGTTTTAAAATATATCTTTTTCTTCACCCTATAATGTAGGATGATGTCCAAGTGTGTGAAGATCGGTGAAGGAGTCTTTGGTGAAGTATTTCGTTCAGATTCCAAAGGTCATCCAGTTGCTTTGAAAGTAAGTGTATAGTCTGCTAAAGCTTTCGGCATGGTGGAGTAAAATTCTTGTTACAACTTGTAGATGGTGTCTCAGGGTGACAAAGTGAAAGAGAGAAGTCTGAAGCAGGATGGCTGGATATGTGGTGTACAATATTATTATAGTGTAGTTTCCCAATCTGTTAATTTAGATCTTCCCAAGTCTTTCGTTTTTATCATGACAAACTGTGCAGTGATCTTTTTTGTGTTGACTAGTCTAGTTCTGACCAAAAGTCTCACTATTTCCTGAGTGCTTTATACTGTTCCAGTATTGATTAAAAAATTCAGGATAATATAGCTTTTTGAGAGCATCTAAGCAAAGAAATGAATGGAGAATCATGATCACTGTTGTCTGCCGCAGATCCGGCACTTGATAATGATGATTATTATTACTAATGTAGAGAGATGAAAGGTGGCAGATAATTAAAAAAACTTTTTTTTAAGCACATGTTCCTCTAAACAGTGGAAGACAGCATGGTAGTTGTCATATATTTCATACTGTCGTATCATATTTGCATTGCAGATAATCCCTATTGAAGGAAAACTCATTGTGAATGACTGTCCACAAAAAAAATTTGAAGAAATACTTCCAGAAATGGTTATTGCCACGTAAGTAATTTCATAATGCCAACTGTTTCCTCATACCTTGACAACTCTTGTAACATTCATCTGTTACTCCTATTTTGTTGTTCAAGTAAAACTACTATTGACAGACCATTTGTGTAAGTTCGAAGTCACTTGTTCCTTGCTCTAAGATCTTGCTCTTCTCTCAATATATTTGGCACATTCTGTCCAACTCCAAATTTCCGTAAGGTACTTTAATGCCTTAAAAAGGAAGAAAAAATATTTTACACCGTATTTTTATTCCAACCATCGGATGAATATAAATAACAGCTGAATAGTCGTATTATCAAAATGTTTTGCAGCTTGTTTTATGAAAATCAGTCTTCTTTCTCCTGTTGTTGTTGTTGCTGTTATCGATCCAGCAACAGCTTTGCTCTCTCCCTTCTGTCCTATGCCATGTAGTGATAAGTGCAGGTTTGCTGCAGTTGCTGTAATGTTCCATAGAGTGTGTTGTCAATGTTAGGTCTCAGAGGGAGAAGGGTAACTCTGATGTCATTTAGGGTTGTGCAGTGAACAGGTCTTTTGACTGTAAAAAGTATGTATCCAGACTTGGATAATTTGTGCTGTAGGCCATTTGAATGTGTTATGCTTTTCATATTTGTTTAACATGAAATTCAAACGGATTCATCATGTATAATTATTGAACCTTTCCAAGACGACCACCCATTGTAGAGGATAAAAGTGGTCATCTTAGACTGGTGGTCCTCTTGAACAGTGTGTGTGTGGAAGGGGAGGGGGTGGTCATTTGTACAGTTGATTGTTTTGGAAAGGTAGATGTTTTTGCAGGTTTGACTGTATTTATATATATTATTTCTTTCACAGAGAGCTCAGTGATTTGGCATTTGCTGACGTAAATCAATCTTCAAACTTCTGCCAGGTTAACAGGTGAATATAATACAAAATATAAGATTTAAGTAACATTCTTGGTTGGATAGTGCTCTTTTGAGAGATCAGTAATTGAAATTTATTGCTTCCATATCTCCTATGAACACTTTTATTCCTGTACAGACTGCACTGCTTGATACGATAATAAAGAAAATAAACAACTTAATTGGTCCATTACAGAGATTTGATTCACAAAATCACATGCATACAATCAGTGTGATTTATAATTGCTTTGGACTGTAGAATGCCATTTTAATGACCACTTGTCTAAGTATTGTTTCTCCAACATTGGTTGACATTTTTTGTGACCCTGACTTTACTGGTCATTCAGCCATCTGGGCCCCCAAGGGATGATGAGGTGGGGGGGGCAAAGCTTTTATTTGAGGCCTGCTGATTAAATGAGTTACTTCTCGCATTCTATAAGTGAAGGTATCTGCCAAAAATCAACACTGGGGGCAGATTTGTAGATCTTTGACATTTCACATCACAGTAATAAATTGTACAAACTCAACCATATCTGTGTCTCTAGGGCTAAAATCTGAGAAATAACTCATTTTGTCAGCTTTCCTCACAGATATTACTTTAAAGTAGTTTGTGTAGTCCAGTCAGTTGCGCATTGTTTTTGCACTCTGCTTGCTTTTTAGAGTAACCTGTTTCACGTCATTGCTATGTTTTGTTCTACTAGGTTTTTTTTCACTCGAGATAGCCTTAGAAATCTAATTTAGACATACTGTGCTGATGAGCTGCTGGCTGTGGCTTGGGTTCCTGATTCCGTTATGTCGACGTTACATTTATTTTCAACAGTTGCCAAAAACAGGTGGTTTTTTTTTTACAATCAGCTTTTTAATTAGATGAAGAACTACCAAAATTGAATCTTTTGTTTGGATTTAATGACCAGTTTAGTAACGTATATGTATCGAGAGGGTTCCGGCTTAGTGGGAAACCCCCCTCCAGGGATTAAGACTTCAGTAAGTAACTTTGGAACACAGAATAATTTGGGTGGCAGAGCTGTCAGTTAAACAAGGTCTAGGACCAAGTTTTCCCGGACTTCATTATATTACAGTAAAGATTTCTTCATCATTTTTTTTTTCAAGTGGGATTCTTTAACCATTGTTCTAATTATGTTTCTCATCAATTCAAAGTAGTTTGTCACCATGGTGTTTATTTATGTCTTCTTTTCAGTGTTATCACTAGTATTGTCTGAATCTATTTGAACAAATTGACCATTATTTTCTGACTCACGATAAAGAAAGTGGGTAGTTTGAGGGTGCTCTGGTGTAATTTGTTCCATCTTTTGTCCTTATCTCTCCTGCTATGTGTTACTCTCTAGTAACGCCCCCAATCTTTGGCACTTATATGACCTATTTGTGTTGCAAGTGCTTCAAAACTAAAACTAAACCAAATCGTACTACAAGAAATTTGACTACATTACTGTGCTGACTCATAGAAAATAAAAATGCAACTTCCTGTTTTCCCACAGAATTTCTTGTGCGAGAGGAGCATTTCCCGATCTCTTATTAGATGAGTGGGATGCGTACAGCAAGCGCAAGTGCTCGGAAAATGATAGGCCTGGTAGGTACTTGTATGACGATGGTGTGTTTCTTTGGGCTAGGGAAGTCATGGCCTGTGGGTTAAAGAAGGGAAGTTCAAGTGCAGTAATAATATTAATTACTGCTTTGAAAGCGTTGCGTTGGTGGCCTAGTTAGGCTTTCGGACTCACTATCCTAAGGTCCTGGGTTCGAATCCCATCAGGAACCCGACGTTGTGTCCATGGGAAGGCGCTTTACACGAATTTTCCTCACCTTACCCACGTTGGACTGAGTACTCCCATAGACAGCAAAAGACCATGTCAGTTTTGTTTTTTTGGTGTTTAGTTAGCGCGTAATCTGCAGCTTGCACTGTATGCTTCTCAGGATTCTGAGTGGTATAGGGTTTGCTTGGGTAATGTTTGTAGAGTGCATAGAACATGGATATGCGCAATATAAATGTAACTTGTTATTATTATTATAAGTCATAATATTGCCAGAGCTGTTTGTACAGTGTATGAGGCCAGGGTTTATGCATTCAGTGCTTTGACACAGAAGAAAAAATGAAGGTTTTTAAGTGTAGGCCTGTTGGTTACGTGGCCAATATACTCTTGTCCTTGCAGTTTCTGTTGTTCAGTCTGCTGGAACATTTTGGGGGCATTTGTGTTAGACAAATTTAACATCTTGTTACTAGTGGTAACAGAATATTAGTTACAGGAGTGGAGTGACTGTGTAGCTTCTTGAAAGTCTCATCAATAACACAGTGGGAGTTTTCAATGTGTGGGAGTTGTACAGACTCACTGTGTTGCAGCTTTTTCTTCTGATTTATTTATGCTGTCAGCTCTGAAACCCACCCTTTTGTTGAGTAGTTGACAAGAAATTCAGCAACGGCCATTCTTTTCTGCTGTATCAGAAGCTGTGACAACGAATTGTGCTCAGTGCTTTCTCTGTCCTGGTCCTGAAAAATCAAAGTATGATTTATAACGGCAGAATTTGACTGAAATTTTCGTTTGTGTCCACATTTCTGATTTTTATACAAAGCTATGAGAACAAAAGGGAAGGGAACGAGGGGGATGATTATTGATCACCGGCATCTGTGGTGTGGTGGTTAGATGCTTGATGCTTTGCTGTCACATTCAGGAGATCTTAGTTCCTTTCCCACGTGAGAAGAAAATTTTTATTGAGTATCTCAGTCTTTTTGCTGCGATGTATTTCTCTCAGCCCAGGCTGGCCCTGATAGGCAAGGTCGTAAGCTTTACTTCCTAAATGATCAAAATTGTGTCGATGGGGTGTAAAAACACCCGCAAAGTGTTATGGATCGTATCTGTAAGGGAAAAAAAAGGTTTCTGCTTTCAATCAACTCATTTCTGAATTCACCTTGCAAACTTCTACTCTACAGATAATTTTGATGCAAGCCAGATGTTTATCATTTTTGAGTTTGGTGATGGTGGATGCGCGTTGGAAAATTATAAGGTTTGTGTCTGTAAGGCCTCAAGGTCTGTTATAAATATATGAGTTTGGTAGTATTGTGTGGTTATGTTCCTTCGTTCCTATCAAACATCTATTGTCCTTTTCTCTCTTCCTTCTTTTTTTCATATGTTACCCTCGAGTAACATCTTGAACTTCGACACTTATATGACCTATTTAGCATCGGTGGCCTAGTGGTTAGGCGACCAGACCCGTAATCATTAGATTGGAGGTTCGGGCCTCAACTTGGTCCGACATTGTGTCCTTTGGAAAGCACTTTACACAAATTTCCCATTTGGCACGGTCCTTTTGGAGATGAATGTTTAACTCGGAGGTCCCGCCTCTTAAATGACCTAATAGTATTGAATGCGGCATTTGACCTATACTATTTCACCACTTTTTTTTTTTCATTTGACCTATTTGTGCTGCATTTATTGTAAAGTTCTGGCTAAAATTGAAAACTAAAAAAAAAAGATAAAAAGAGTATGAGAAGCTTGCGATTCATAGTATGTGTATTGGAAGTCTAGTCTGTATGTTTTGACATATTCCAGTCACAAAAGACAAGAACAAGTTCAATTTCTTTGTACTGTTCATGATATATCAGCTCATAGTCAAGTAAAAAAGAAATAGCGTGAATTGTTTCTGGTACTAGGGGCAAAAGAGAGAGGTAGACCAGTTAGCATGAAAGGAACAAAAAATATTGGATGTCCTTTTTCTCTGAACATGTTATTTTTTTTCTTTTTTTTTCTTTTCAAGTTTTCAAATCACAAAGAAGGTTTGAGTGTGCTCCAACAAGTTATTTTTGCCCTGGCTGTAGCAGAGGTTGCCATGGAGTTTGAGCACAGAGATCTCCACATTGGAAATGTGCTGGTGCGGCGGTGCAAAGAGGAAACCATCCCCTTCCAGCTGATGGGACAGGAGTACCAACTCAAATCTGAGGGCGTTTTTGCTACGATAATCGACTTTACTATTTCACGGCTGAAGAAAGGTACTGCTCTTGTGGTTGCAAGTGAAGCTTGAGCGTTGTTGCAGCTATTTTCCTTTATGTGAACTTTCTGTATGTAAGCTAAAGTTGTCAACTTCTCATCTGGCTGCATTTTATTTTCTAGTTTAGATTTCAGATAGTTTAGGAGTTGGGAGGGGGAGTCTACTTTGAAGAGAAGAGCTACAGAGGTTCCTTTTGCTTTCTGTTATTTATGTAGTATGGTACACTGGGCCCTGTTTAACTCACTGCGGACACACATTCTGATTATTCGATAATGATTGAAGATTTATAAGCATCACCTCGTTATCTATACGGATTTTTCAAATGTTTTTTTGGTTATCAAAAATTTAAAAAGGCAGCCACAATGTGCCTACTTTAAAATATGCAAATTCTCGTTTTTCATTTGTATATGATGGTTTAAAATTGCAACATTGCCATTTGTCTGCTGATGGGCATATGTGTCTGCTACGTCCTTAAAGAGTTAATAGTCTTGTGCTGACAATAAGTCTCTTTGTTCTTAGCATCCCACTAATCAAATGAAAAAGAAAATGAAAGGGGATGATGTTCTTCACCTTACTGACCAGCGGCCACTCCTTAACTATTCGATATTGTCAGTGATCAGTAATAGCCAGTGCACAAATCCAGTTGAATTCGCTCTTAACACATTATACCCTAGCGGTCTGGATGGGAAGTCTATTCCCAAATTCTAAGCAAAAGGAATGAACCCACTTCTCGTGAAAGCATTAAAAAACACGTTTTAAGAATTATAAACACATTCCAAAAATCCTTAAAGAATATAGATTAGAAAGAGAATTGAAAGTAGTTTCAGAAAAATAAAACTTTGTTTGTACAAAGTAAAGTGTTGGAAATGTTCTGACTTTAGTTCAAACGGGGTGTCCGACCCGTCACTTTCACTCTCAGCCCGGCGGTCGGGCCCTAGATCTAAATTTTACATCCGATTAATCTGAATTGCCCCAAACTCTTGCTTCAACGTATTCATCAATATTTCATTCATCTGATTTGTCATTTGCTTGAGTTGCTTTTCAACAAATGGAGACACCTTCAAAGTGTCGGAAACGTGATCGCACTTGAATCAGCTCTAATACTAAAACTACTTAGTACTAACCTGAAAAATTTCATTTTGGTATCAAACGGAAGAAGAAACATTTTGCAATAACTATATAAAGCAAAATCTCAGCCCCAGTCTCATCAAGGCGAGACTTTGTTTATAAAGACGCCTGGTAGGAGGGGGCGAGCTAGGATGGAGGGCGTAGGGAAATTCACAGGCGAGTTTGGGTGTAATGTGTTAATTCAGTCAGGGCTGGTCAGATTTTCCTTCATGAATGAAACAAAAGCTGCTATTTTGACACAATATGACTCAACTAAAATTTGACTATAGCATTTCAAAATCAAATATGTCTGTTTTTCAAGGTCTCGAGTCAAATCAACCATATTGTGCCAAAATGGTAGCTTTTTCCCCTCCTTGAAATCTGGCTGTTTTTTGTTTTTTTGTTGATTACAAAAACATAATGCAGGTTGGTGGTCAGCTCTGATGCAGTGGAAAAAAAAGTTTCATGTTTTCTAAACGACTTTAATATGATTCTGAATTATTTCTCACTAAGATGCAAAGTACCCAAGTTCCAAAGGTTCCATGCTGCTACTATGAGATTCTTTTTAGAGATAGATGTATAGCCCTACAACTTATTGTTTTGTGTTTTCAGATGGCTGCGCTGTATTTTGTGACATATCTACTGATGAGGGAATGTTTGATGGAGAGGGCGACATACAGTTTGATGTCTACAGAAATATGAGAACTGAGAATGGGTAAGCTGGAGCAGATCTTAAAAGGCACAGTAAAAACAGGAGTTAGAATGATCCTCCTCTGAATGTTTTTCAGATGATATATCTGAAATGACTTTGACTTTACTGAGAAGGGTAGCCTACCTTTCTACTAAGAGAACTGAGGATGTTCTATGATTGGTGGCCACTTTCGCATGGTTTGCTCCTACTTTTCACTTTTTGTATTTTAATAGATTTCTAACTTTCTCTTGGAGAACTTCACCAGTATCTGTTTTAGTTGTTGACTTGTAACTTTACCCAAGTTCTGTGGTTACAGTTGGTAGGCTTTTCTTTTTTTTTTTTTTACCCTATAGCCACCTTGGATTTCCCTAGATTTATTACTGTGACTTTGATTTGACACGAAATGATGGAATCTGGCGCATGTCAATGTTTGGGTATATCAAGTAATTGATATAATCTTAAAGCTTGTTTCTTTGTCTTGCTTTTGGTGAAAAAAAATTATCAATATAGAATTAATGAGAAAATGGCTGCCAAAGTTGGTGACTTCCAAAGCTTAAGCGTCCTTGGATACTGCAAATTTACATTTTTTTCTTTTTGCCTTTGATCAATGTTTTTCGGTAAAATTAGGTGTTTTTAAGCGAACATAAAAGGGGCTGACAACCCTCCCCTGCAAAAAAATTTACTGTGCAACGTGGGGAAAAATTGTCAGTTTCTGCAATTTCATTATTTTGACGAACGCCTGAGATTACTACAATACCACACATTTTGCAGATGTACAATCTGATAGGGAATTTTTTCTTTCATTTCAGGAATGATTGGCAAAAGTTCATCCCACGTACCAATATTCTCTGGGTGCAGTATCTGTGCACAAAACTGTTGACTGTGGTGAAATATGCCGAGAATGGGCGAGCTTTCCGTGAACCTTTGAGAAAACTGCGTCGGCTCAAGGAAGATATTCTGTCATACAACAGCTGTGCAGAACTGGTAGCAGATGATGACTTGTGGGATTTTTGAATTATTCTCACGTTTATCTCCTTTAAATTTGTCACCCTCACTCATCCCATGTTGTAGGGTTGACGTGCCCACTGTGGTACCACTGATCTCGAATTCGACAGCATACATCTGAATTTGGAGATTCTACTCTCAAAAAGGTCCACAGATTTCCTTGGTTTTTATGGTTTATTTTTCCTCAGCCAAGTTCTTTGTCATAGGACCTAGTGCTCTACTTCCAAATGAGGTACCTCTAGTAGGCCTACAGTGTTGAACCTTGACAGAAGACTAGTAAGACAGGGTGTAGTGTCCCCTTGATGACAGTCACTTGTCTCTTCATCCGTCTGTCTTCAGTTACATTGATACAGTCTTGTAAGCACATAGCGAACACTCATCAATAGCAAAACACGCACACATAGTGGACAGATTTTCAGGTTCTGAATTTTTTCTTACATACGCAGGCGACACCACTTGTGTTAAACTCACTCCTGAGTTGATCCTTCGGTTAAGCTGGTCTTTTTTCCTCGATCCCAGAACCTCTTTTTGTTTACCTTTGCAAATGGTCAAGTTGAGTTCAACTTCAGTAAGCGTAAATATGCTCGAGTCAAAGTGCTTTTTTACCCCCGACTGCAAGTATGCAAAGGTTGTAATGATTTTTTTTACTTGTATCGTCAAATGTTCACTGCAGTCTTGACACAAGCGATACTTAACGTACAAGCAAAAACACGTAGAGCCGATCAACACACAATGATAGGCCTACATAAAACCTCAATGAAATAGTGAGATGAGCGCAAGAGCGAGTGAACATGATGTATTTGACACCATGATGCAGTCTTGCAAGCACAAAGCGTTATTGGTTCCCCTCCCCTCAAGTCCAAAGGGTGTGGTGCACCGCAAGAAAATAAGTAATATAGTAAATCCTCGGGATAACATTTGTTTTAACTGTAACTTAATGTAACTTTTACTGTCTGAAGTCTGGAGTCCAAGTTAGATTTTTTACTTTGTAAAAGCTATGTGTCTAAATGTGCCTGTGTAAAACGTTCTTTTCGCTAATAAGATTTACTTTTCAAGGGATTTTAGTGATGTAAAGTTTGTTTATGATGAACATTGTACATTGCAAGAAAAAAAGAATATGACAGATAAAGTGATAGTTTTACCATACTCAGGAAAACAACGTAATCAACTGCAGTGAGAGTGAGATAGTGATTTTTTTCGCAGAGGTACACGTCAGTACATATTGCTAGTATTTAATTTGCAACTACACATGTGTGAGCAGCTTAACCTTTTCTGTCGCCGCCATTTTTACCACAAAAAGCCCACTTAGATTAAAATTATGAGCTTGGGAAAAATATTTTGTCATGTCCCTTGGTTTTGTGGTACATGTTAAGTTGAACTTCTGATGAATTTGTTGTTTTTTGTTTTTTCATTCTCTGACAACATCAACTCATCTGTAGTTGACTGTATATTCTTTTTTATTAAAACAAGTACATTGCAAAATTCGTAGATAACAAAAATATTTCCGGGTTCAGGCAATGTGGCCAAAGTGCGACTGTTGTAACTACTTTTTCATTATGTAGGAATTTCGCAATGTGTGTTTAAACCGTTTCAATGCCAGGGGTGTGCGTTCTTACTATCTCGGCACTAATTTTCAATTAAGCCCGTTTGCCAGGACAGCTGTCTCATGTCTCTGTTCATGGACTTGAAGTCTAGGTCAAGTTCACTTGTGGCATATTTTGGATCCCGGGTATTTAATCGTTTTGTTGTTGTTTTACTTTACTCAGTTTAGTAAGTAAGAGTTTTACGGCACTTGCAACACAATAAGGTCATATAAGTGCCGAATCACTTTACTCATACCTTGCAGCCCCCCATCTTACTCATGATTTTGAAAAACTTGGAAAACTAAGTCAAAAAGTAATTTTTTTCCCCCTTTTTATAGTCTTTTGATGTTTAAGTTCTGTATGTACAAGTGGTTGTCCGCCAGACGACCCATTGTACTGATATGCACCAAAAAAAAAAATGTCAGAACAGATAAGAGGGAACTGTTAACATGTTGGTGTTAGATCTAGTCACAGGGAAAAGTACTCAGCCACTTGGCTTTTATCCAAGCTACCACTCCCAACAGCCTGTCATCTATAGCAACTCGGTAAATACATGGTTGACATCAGAGACTTTTCTTTTGTGATTCATTGAACAAGTATGCTATAAGTTCTACGAGCGGAGCTGATTACTTGACTCAGGGCTGCCTAAATCTACCGGTAGATACCGATTTTGGGCCTGCTACCGGATTTGTGATGGGTGCCGAAAGAAGAAAAAAAGAAAAAACATTCTGCAGTGCTTCCATTCTTCTTTGTTTTTACGGAAATCTGTATATTTAGAAAGTTCCGTACTTGCCGTATCATCTGACATATCAACTCCATGCGTTAGAGAGAGAGAGAGAGAGATATCAGCACTTGCCTCCGTAGCGTGTCAGATATTTATAGCAACTCTCGGCAAAAAGTTGTACATGTATTAGAAACTGCCAGATTGCGCATTTTGTACACTCGACCATTGTCTATCTGTGCCGTTCGGTCGGCAATAGTTTTTCATGTGCATCTCGGCTAAAATCTGTCTACTCACGATAGATAATCTTCCTCCTTCCTTTCATTCATTCTTTCTTTCTGTCTATCTTCGGGTTTTTGCTGCGGCTGGAAAATCTGTGCATTTAATTCATTTATCTAGAAAACAGAATTGTGAATGTACAAAGAAAATTGATTTTGAAGCAAAACATTAAAAAATTTAAAATCTGTCTTAGTCTAGAGAATTGGTCAGTACCAAATGAGGATTCTGCACAGGGGGACTTCGGGAATCTGTAAAAAAAATAATCGCGGAGACCCGAGAAAATGCACAGTCTTCGAAACCAAATCTGAAAAGGCTACTACTACTGAGTTCATATTTTAGCTGTCGCGTTTGTGATATTACGTTCAGCTTTCCCCAGTCCGAGAGTACGTTTCACGAGAATAAGCGGAAGTGTAGGTGTAATACTGAGACTCCAACGGGAAAATCAAAATCTACTTTCGCTTTCGTTACCGCTCAGAATTGTCCGATGATAGTTTGTTAACATTAGATTTACAGTTAATAAAAATTTGTGACATGCAGTTTTTGCTTAAAAAACACAATGTCGCCATGCAAATTAAATCTATATTCTCACTGCTGTCACTATAATGACAAAAGAAGGAAGAAAAAGAAAACAAGCGTCCTCTGATATCTAGGTTGTCGGGCCCGTCATTGTGACCGGTCAGTGGACCTGTTTGAGTTCGCATCGTGTGAGTACGGCCTGAGTAAGGGATCGGCCGGCGGTTGTTAGGGTAATCAAAGTTCATTCAAAGTCAAAGTAGGAGCGTTGCAGGCTTCAGAATTGAGGAGAGGTGTTTGACACAATAAAGTCTACTGCAGCGGGATAAGGCAGCGGTGCAAGAAGCTGATGCTAAAATAAAAATGATAAATGGAAGTGGTTTTGCATTCAACAATCGAGTGTGTAAATGAGGGAACATTAGAGCACAGACTTTATGATTGTATCTTTAAGGTTGGTGTTCCCGGATTTGTCAGTGATGACAAATTGAATAGAATAGTGGCAATGAGGAGATAACGTGTCACTTCCTTCCACTGTTTCATCAGTATTAGTTTGACTGTTTTTGTCTGTTTCTTCTTGTGAGGCTTGTTCACAGACGACAGTTTTTGTGGTTGTACCATCAAGAGGTAGATATAGATCTGTATGTGTCAGGGCAGTTTCTTCACACTACAGAGAGTCTAACAGGGTCTGTCTTGACTGATCGATAATGTGAAAGTCAAGAGGGTGCAGACCTGACTTTCTGAATGCATTTTGCACCAATGATTTGTTTGACTTGCACTCATCGTACAATACTTTGAAAATTTAAGCAAATGATCTCTTAGTGACAACATCGTTAAGGCTTTACTGCTTCCTTCTCCTTCCATTTTGCCTTGATGCTTGAGAAAAACCCCACATCTAAAGGTTGCACAACATGGGATGCATGTGGGGGAAGGGCGTACAAAATCACTTCATTGTCTTGGCACAGCTGTGCCAACAGCAGTGACTGATGGGATGAGTGTCCGTCTACCTACGTACTGTAGAACAGGCTTCTTAAGATGCTGCGTTTGTGAAATGAAACTGTTCTTACCATGCCGAAAATAAATCACAATTTATCCAACCAATTGGGGATTTTGCAATTGCAGACTCGGGAAAGACATCTTGCTGGTGAAATCCTCTAAACACTTTACCAGGAAAGATCAACATGGGTTCAGTAAATGTCCCTGCTGCATTTGTGCTAACCAGCACAGTGATTATTGTGTAGGTATCATTGCATACCTGTAGTGATATACATTTCTGGCCCCTTGGAAAGACAACCCTCCCTGATTGAGCATCCAATGCAACCTGCTTTCATCAGCATTAAAGATACGCTCGGGTTAAAAAAACAGAGTCTGTGTCTTATCTATGTCCTGCACACACTTTGTCATGGAATCTGACTATTTCTTCAGACCTTCTGTAGTGATGAATGCTCGAGGTTTTCCCAGTTTTGCAGTTTTCTGAACACAATCTGTTTGTTCCGAAGTTTAAAAAGTTTGAACCATGTCTTGGATGGCTTGTTTTTTAATCGTGTTTCTTTCCCCTTTTGGTCTAGATACTGTTTTAATTTTTGAAGTAAATCTGCCTTTGTCCGACCAAAACCCCTTGCCGACATCAGCATAAGCCTGTCAACAATTTCTTTTTCCTCACCAGCTCTCAATACAGAGTAACCCTGTACATATATCGGGCGGCGCTCTGATATTTTGTCCATGAGTGTCCCATAAGGAATTTGATACTCTCGGGCCGTTTGACGTTTTGTATGGCGTGCATTTAGGCGGAGACTACTGTACCAATTTGAGCCTTTTTCACTCCTGAATTCGAACCCATGCAATGCTTGTGGCTAAATCTCTGTGCATAAGAATAAGAGTCAGATGATTAGTGTGATGTACATGTAACGTTATATTTATATGCAACCAGGAGCGACAAATTTTGCCTGTTTCTGTGATGTCCATGGAATGGCTCAAAGCTTAAAATCATGCATTTTCGTGACATACTGGGTACGGTGCCAGATACATCATAAGGCTACAAAGTGGTCAAATAATCTATATATAATACATTCAGGATCTGAAAATCTGTTTGCTATGTGTGTGTTGGCTATGCATGTGTGAGGCTGTATACTCAAGATGCTAAGTTTAAGTCTACTATATATCATCCAAAATGACTTTTGTCTGGCCTCTCTCATGTTGTCTCCAGTTTGACTCCAAGTCCAGCGAGTGGTTGCTTTTTGGCTGTTGTGCTTTGGGAGAGTGTATATCAGAGCAGTTATGAGAAAGATAGATCTAATTATATTTATACTAATTGTTTATCCTTTAATGGAATTTTTTCATTCTCGTCATTCTCATTTCTCTTGCAATATTGTTTGAATTTTGGCATATTGTGATTCCTAATATTACTGGGCATGCTTCCAGAAATGTTCCCCCCCCCCAAGACAGTGCCACTGACTGTAGCGTCTTTAGGCCATTCCCAAAGGGGGGACTTTTCTCGTTCAAGCAAAGCACATTAGAATTGTAAATGGGCTGATTCATGTTGCGCTCATAACTATGCCTGATCCACGACAGGGAACTGCTGCTTTTTCTTTCCTAATCTTTACTATAACTGTTGTCATTTTCCTCTACTTCTTTTGTATGTTTGTCACTCTCTTGTGACCTGCTATTTCCGTGGTGCCTTGATAGTCAAAGCAGACCTTGTGCTGTTGAAGCTAGAGAGGTGAGCAGAGTAAATTTGATTCCCTGTAAAGATTTCTCTGTTGACACCCACCTCTTGGCGCTCATATGACCTTATGCAGTTGTGAGCGCCGTAAAACCCTCTACTATAAAAGAAAGAAAAAGAAATGTTCCAGTACAATTTCTCCTACATTATGAGAGCTGTGCTCTTTGTTTGTTCATCTTTATGTGAGAGGTTTTGGAGTTCCCTTGTTCTGAGGTTTCAGAACTAATTATGTCCATGAGACAAATAAAGCTATACATGTCAAAAGTTGACACTGCTTAACTATTGCTTGTTGGTACTTTTGTGACTGAAAGTGAATGCTATTTTTAAATTAAGAAAGTGGGTGGGTGGCGGGTGCTCTGGTGTGGTTTGCTCCTTCTTTCCTATCAAACATCTACATATCGTCTTTATCTCCCTTCCTTCTTTTTTGTTTGTTACTCCCTTGTAACGCCTCTAATCTTCTGGCGCTCATTTGACCTAACGCTGTTGTGAGCATAAAAAAAACTCTACTAAAACTTTTAAAAATTAAAGAAAACAGCATGGATGGGAATATCTCTTTAAAAAAAGTAGTGAATCTTATTTCTTGTCATCGTTTATAGCAAAGGCATGAAGATGTAACAAGTTCAAAGTTAAAATCTTGTATTCAGGATATTTCTATCTCTGATGCTAATGGTATTGCAGAAAAAAATGAACTGCAACAGCTAAAGATAGTTTGAATAATATAAACCCAATATTAAGAAAAGAAAACGTCTTAATCATACTTAATGACAACAAAAATAAACATTTTGAAAAGGCTAAGTGTTGTCAACCCTTCTGTACAGCTGTGAATGCAGGAAAATTATTGAAGATTGTGAAAATAATCAACTCGAGGCTGCAGAAATGTGAATGAATGAGGTAGTGCTGAAATTGATTCCTATCACTGAAAGGACGTCGTTTCCATTGACAACGAGGACGCCATTGATGCTGTGGAAGACTGGTTAGGGGCCTATTCTGTTCCCGCGGTTTAATGCCAAAAAAAATAAAAAATCTGAAATTACCAAATTGATCCCAAAAATGTGAAATTGTGCGATTCTGTTAATTTTAACAAAGAATGATAAAGGTAAATAATCACAAATTATGCAAAAAATGATAAAATTTGGCTAAATTATGCGGGGTGCATAAAACCACGGGGACAGCTCATTTTTTTTCTCAAGGACCTTTGAAGGTCAAAGAGAGGGGGCAGAAATGTGTTACTCTGCATGGTGACTATGTAGAGTAGAGAAATGAAAGTATGTGTGCCAAGTTACAAAGCTCTATCTTTATTCCTTCATGTTTAGACCAATGACTTCTTGAACCCGCCTCACAGATATAAAATGTAGGTCTACATGTATCAGTATAACATCAGGGATGAAAAGACAATGAGATAGAAATAATGTGCAAAATGCGATTGTCTAATTTCAAGGGAAAGGACTCTGCCATGGATGAAGAAAGGACCGTA